TACACCATTCTTGACAGAACTTCATAGTACTATCTGCCAAGTTGCCCATGGCATCCTTTTATATCACAAAAGGAAGGCCTGACATGCTCTCCAAACCCACCCTACCCTGAGCACTGGTATATTAATAGTTTTGTCCTCTGCAGCACCCAAGTACTCCTGGAAGCTCTGATACGCACTCTCCCTTTTCACTAAGCTTTTATTATAATGGCCATCAACAGGGCCACGGGGAGAAGCAATAACCTCTTACACACACAGAATGGGGTCCTTCTACCACCTCAGGGAGGACTGAACCACCAAGGGTCTCTAGTGGTTTTTTCCCTAGACTCTTCAAAGCCATGACAAGTAAATGCACCTGAAGTGATGTCTGATGCACAGCCCTTAAAAGTCTGGCATAGCATGCCTTAAAACAGCAAATGACTGCTAGTTGTGCCTCTTCTGTGGAGCTAGAGAGCACCCCTGGTATCATAAGGTAGCTCTAATCTTTGAGATATGAAGAACCCCAGCTTCAATACGTTTCTCCCAAACTGTAGACCTCTGCCCAGTACTCACTTCATAGGGGACACAGAACTTTCAGGTCAAGAATACCTGTCACCCCTGTGGCCTCTGAGTGAGATGCCAAGGGCTGTGGCAGACAGCTGATTTCAATGAAGTTTCAAATACTGCATGCCCCTTAAACACCAGAGTTAAAAGGCCTTCTTTAAAAGAAGTCCAGTTATGAGCCCGTCTTGGTAATACATTTATAGAGGGAAAAAAAAAAAAAAAAAAAAAAACCCATAAAGGCTGTCCAGGCAGCCATGAGACTTAGCTAACAAACTGCAGCTAGCCAACAAATAAAACTTAGGACTTAAGTGGTCAACACATTTTAACTCTATCCCTCAAAGTAGAGTCTAATTGGTCTTTTTTTCCCTGGTTTGCAACACCTAAAGGAACCTGGTGCGTAACAGAAACGATTCTAGAACTTCAAACAAGATATGAAGAGCCCGAGCCAGATGCTGCATTAAGCCCAGAACCCCCCCCCCCCCCCAAAGGCATCCATCTTGAGACTAAAAGGACAATAACTTTTCCTGGTGAAAAGATGGATAAGAGAATAGCAACAACTGGGTACAATACCCCAAAATGGCAGAACCATGTCAGAGAAAATGGTGGTGGTGGACAAAAACCAAACCAAAGATTACACAAAAAAACCAAAAGGAAAAAAACCTAAAACTTTTATCTTACAGGGAATATATTCAGATGGGGGGTGGGGGGGGGGAAGGAGACGGGACACATAGGTTTGCAGCTGTTGGAAAAAGGTTCAATCAAAACGTTCATCCCTGGAATCATGAGATTAGACCAGGAGACCTTAAGCTGACAGTTGCAAAGAACTGCAAAACAGAAAGTGTGCACCATCTTTTCTCTCTTCCAATGCAGGGCATGAGAAAGCCAGATCATAGTACACCATACATGTAGTAGGATAAAGTCTCTAAGCTAGACTTCGATGGTGTATGCACACCTAGTGAGGATGTCCATGTAGACAAAAACAAAGAATCAGAATTTCCAGACTTCTACTTTAAATCCTAAAACATTCTTCCAAGCTCAAAAAAAAAGCAGTTCTCTTAATTTTCCTGCCACCCTCCAACCAATCAATCTTTGTAAAAGCCATTACTCACATAACTCAGCTGAAAGAAACTAGTTTTAGCTCATCTGAGCGATGTTTTCCTTACCCATTTTTAAGAGTTGACCAAGACTCTAGGGATTAAGTAGTTATCTAAATAGTAGTTTCCACTCTTTTGTTTGTGCTTTATCAAAACTGGTGGTAACCAAATGTTCAATTTTAGCCCATTTTATTTGGGAAGTAGCACTTAGGTTTATAGTGTTTTTCTTGGTTTTATTCTCCTTGGTTTTAGTGTTCTTCAGACCCACCTCATAGAAACTGAATTGAGGTAGTTACACAATTTTCCTATGATTTGGTATTATAGCATCAGAGAAGTTTAAAAACAACAACAATGCAATAGGCCTCATGTTTATTAAAAAGCTAAGTTGTGGACGTTTTATGCAATAAAACTGACAGGGAAACAGTAAAAAAAACAGACAAATTGCAACATTTTATTAGAGAACAATCAAAATTGTGGAACCAAAACCACATGAGTGTTCATCATGCTTTTTACACACTGTTCCTGTACCAATAAAAGGATATAATTTAATACTGGGTAGCAATACTTACAACATTTCATAAAACTGACACCCTGAAGTAAGAGCCTCTGAAGCAACAAAATACAATTACTCCCCCTACCCCAATTTGAGTCATCTGGCAAGTTTGCTGGAAAACGGTATTGTTTTTCTGCACCTTTGGTCTTTAACTAAAATCTGGATTTCTGAAAAAGCCAATGCTCTATACCATTCAACCTTTTGTCCACATGAAGCACCAAACTGTTTCTTAAGTGCATCCTTGGTCATTAGTGACTTCTCCCATTTCTGGTTTCCCAAAGGCAGAAGGGTAATGTAGAACTGAGAAGCTGCATCTTGAGCATGGTGTTAAACACAACACAGCATACAGACAAACGTAATGTTGGCACGTTATGTTTATCTACATCCATCTAAACCATCTACACAAAGAAGAAAAGGACAGAATTACAGTAAAAGAAGAACTTTGATCTCCTGCATCAGTGTTTTTCCACCCGTGGGTCACAACCCAAAAGTGGGCTGCAAGAATATATGAATGGGTTGTGAACGAACTTTAAAAATGGATCAACAAACTTTTAAGATGAAGTCTCCTTTAAGAGAGAAAGACATGGGAAACCGTGGGTTTTCCCTTGCAGGCTGGCAGAGTTCCAACCTGCAAGGGGCTGCTTGGGGCCATGCCCTACACATCCACTCCCTGCCCCACACACTGGGGGGCTGGGGGCAGTGGGTCAGGAGTGAGGGGCACTGGGGCAGGACTGGCCAATGTTTACAACTGGGTTGTGATACAAAACAGGTTGAGAACCACTGTCCTACATTTCAGACATCTAAAAATCTGGAAAGGAAAAGGTCACGCCCCAAGTAAGTACTGGTACAGAAGTTTGGCTAATGGATCCGTCTGTCCACTGAAGTGTTTACCTTGCCAATTATTGCTGGGTTCACGAGGTAGTTATTGACAAAGTAAACAGTTACTGCTCTAAAACAAATTAGTTTCCACTAGGATAAGGAGTATGCTAGCAGATATCTTTTGGACAGTAACCAACAATCCTGTCCTTTCCCAGCAAGAAAAAAAAAAGGACCGTCAAAACAACTTTTCTTGTTTTTAAGGAATGAGATCTATAAAACTGTCAAACTCATCCACTTTCCTAGAAAACACTCCTATTGTGATCACTGTAAACAAAAAGCAGGGAAATAAAGCAATATCTTTCAATGCTACATAAAGGCTCAAAAAGTACCTGTCATAGTGAAACCAGCAACTGCCCTGAAGGAAAGCAATCATTAGAATCCCACTACAATGACTCTGCTGGTTGTTTATCTACTTGCTAATTTTCTCTCCATTCTTGACATCTCACAAGGCCCCCTAACATCCAGTAATGTCAAGAGAACTTCTAGAAGACAGACACAGATGGACATACACGTAGACAAATGGGAACAAACAAGTCCTAAACACAGGACATGTTTTCCCTACTCCAAAGCCAAGACACATGGAAGATCCTGAACTGTCATTCAAGCACCATAGATATATAAAGACTAGTCTGACCTACTATAAAATTACCCTCATGATGTGCAGGGGAGTGCAAGAGGAATTTGTGGGTTATACTTAGATAAGGAGATCCTCAACAGTTACTAGACCATGTATATAGGACAGAATACAAACAATTTTAGCACAGAATGGTATGGCTGCCAAGTCCATACTGGGGAATACAAGCACTTCAAATCAGGATGTAGAGTGGGCTGCAACATTTTGTAACCCTAATTGACTGAACTGTCCTTTCTGCAGGGGGGGCAGGGGAGTGGGGAGAGGGAGAGCTCCTAACTTCATGATGGAAAGTACCTTAGTCATGCTCAAGTGTTCCCTTTTCAACCATATGTGTCTTGTATCCACCTTCAGAGTGGGATCAGACCTCATTCCTCTTTACATTTTTAGAATACTGATCAAGCTTTTGCCATTTTCTTTACACATTATTTTTGCATGGCTACAGTCAAATTTGGCTAAAGAATGACTGGTTTTCCTTAGTAAAAGTTCTCAAGTGGTAGACAACTTGATTAAAGCTTAAACTATGTGCAGTCTGAAGAGAGTCATTTGCCAAGAAAGTAATGGCTGCATATGTATCCTGCTCTGAAGAAACGGCAGGAATATTTCACAGACTTTTGGTCCAGTTCCAAGATTCCTTGCTGTTCCCAATTCATACTTTTGAGGGAAAAAAGTCTGCATTACTGTGCTGCAATACTGAGATGCTATTAGGGTATCTCTGTACTTTCCAGACATCTTTGTGCTTTGAGAGAATGCACTGCTTAATAGGTTTAAGAGTAGTAAGTGATAACAAACTTAAATGAGGGCTGTTTAGAGTAGTCTTAGGACATTTGTATTAGTCTTACTTAATAATTTCAATGTCCTGTACAGAAGCAGCTGCAGCATTAGTGAGTGAAATTCACCACACTGGAAAAAAAAAAAAAAAGAGGGAGAGTAGCGTCTGAAAGCACTTATTTTTTTCTTATAGAAACCGAACCTGTCAGAGCAAGAAAATTCTTCCTCCAGTTAGTCAGAAGTAGAACTTCTGCTGAAAAGCAAAAGGTAGAGATAGACACTTCTAATAAGCCTGATAAAAGACTACTTTACAAAACTGGATTTAAAAAGCACACAGGCAGGAGGCCAGACAAGCAGCACTCTAGTAATTTTAAAGAAAGCATGATCATTGTCAGGCAACGAGTAGTGGGGAACTCTGAAAAAGTTTATTGCTTGTAAGGCTGCTATACTTTCATTTGAAGTTTAAGCCAAACAATTTCCTGTCTATCCTACTTCAGTTCAATAGATTAGTGGGAAAAAGAGCAACCATCTGTAAAGAGATCCACATTTATCTAACAAACAGCAACACAGCTTTAGAAAGCAAAGCATACATTTCAAATGTCAGCTTTTATGCTGTTAGTTCAGTGTGGATAAATGGAAGTTGCTGGACTGGAACATACTTAAACCTGAAATGCAGAACAAAACCCCCCACTAATTTCACTTTACAAGTGATTTACAGAAGCATCCAGGTAATTCTAGGCCACAAATGTATCAAAGAACAGAACAAAATGCCAAGATATTTCCCTGAAGAAGGCAGAACTGCCAATTCAGAAAGAATCATTTAGCCAACTGTAAATCTTGAAGCTCAAAGGAAATCTATGGATGATAAACCAGTTCACGGTGCTGTCAAAAATGCAACAATTGTGGCAAAAATAGAGAACCAGTCGGATAAGCAGTCCTACTACTCATTGCTGTGTTAGTAACATCTATAATACCGTATGTAGTCTGTTCCCACATTATAAAAACATAATATTCAGGATGGGTTAGACAGCAACTTTAACAATAAGTATTGGTAATTGTCCACATATGCCTAGACTCTACCTTACGACCTGTACTGATTTGTATGAAATGGATATTTCCTAAACCTATCTGCCCTATGCATGTTTAAGGTCTTCTGCATGATAAGTGCTGCATATAGGTGTATTTTCGTTGCAGGTGAACAAGATGATCCCTATACTGCAAGTGAAAAAAGGTTGCACTGAATTATACCTTCTTGTGTAAGACTCTAGTACATTTCTTCCTGTTTAAGTAAAGTAAAAAAATGTAGGTTGGACAGCACAAAACCTGACTAAAAATAAAGTTTAAACAGATCTCTTGTACTATACAAAGTAATTACTGCTCCAAAATGACATCAAGGCAAGTTTAGATAACAAGAGAGAAGATGCAGAGTCTTTCCTAGATGTTCACCTGTTACAGTACCCTTCTGAATAACTAAAGTAATACTAACCAACCTTGGCCCCAAGCCTAACAAAAATGGTATGAATTAGCCAAGTGGTGCAAAACAGACACTTCATAGTCCTAAGGCAGAACAAAAGCCAGACAACAAGGAATTAAAAGGCTTTTTATAGAAAGCTGAGGCACTGAAATCCTTTAGTGCTGCTGGCTAGTTTAAACTGAAGAGAGATGGATCAGGGGAAAAGAACCCACACACCTTAATTATTTATAATAAACATGTTTAAAAAATGTCAATCTTGAAAACCTTTCAGTCTTCAAAAAGCATTTGTGTAACACAACCTCCTGTATTTCTTATCATGTCTCATTGCCTTAACTGATTTTTTGTTATATTAAGCAATCGGCAGTTTAAAACAAAGAAAAGAAAAAGAGAAACCCTAGAACAGTCACATATACTCCTCTGTACAGTTTTGACGCAGCTTTTACGATTTAGTTCCTGCTGTCAGATACTGAACAAAAGACAGCACTCTGGTGGTATCAGCAGCACAGCAGCTCTGTAAATTATTTTTATAATTGCTAAGATCAACTATCCCTACAGTGTTTTAAACTGCTTTATTCCTCCATATGTAAGAACATTTCTTTTAATGAAAATCTTAATGGAGAATTCTGTTGCTAATTTAAAAAAGCTAAAAAAAAAAAAGTCTATATAAACTGATTTAGGAACATTATTACTGAAGATGAAAATGAAAACATTATTTATCTGGCAAAATCTTCAGTAAGGTGGGGTGTCTAACATTAGTGAAAGAAGTTTTCCAAAGCTAAGACTGTATTCCTTCCTACAAGCACTTTCTTGTCAAAGTTTTAAGCTCCACAGTTGAATTTGTAAACAAAAAATATCAACCCTATGCAATAAAAGGGCAAGCATGTATTTACCTTTATCAGAGTATAAATACAAATACCCGGATTTTCATTAAGACCATACTTACTTTAATAAGAACAGATCAGCTGAATCTAGAATAGATACCAGTATATAAACCAAAATATATGAAGGCTATAAAAATGCCAGTGTGTATTAAACCTGTAGCCTCTTGCCTTAATGCACACTTAAAATTTAAGAAGGTAAAAACCAAAATGGAAGTAAACTGGTACAGACTGTAAGACTTCAGTTTAAAAAATCTGACAGTTTATGACTTACCCTCTCATGTGTCAGTTGGTCTTCAAGTGAAAGTTTTGCATCATAAAGATAAGCTGGCATTCTACAGTGTAAGCTGCACAAATGCATTAAACAATATTGCAGGTAAAGAATGGCTTAGTTTACTAATTTTATGATGTAATCGTAAAACTGATTTTTTTAAGAAGTTTCTTTTTTGCGCCATTCTGCTAGCAAAGAATTTAAAACTGTCATGTGAACTGTATAGCCATAATACAACCAGACAAAAGAAAGTAATAACAGACCAGCTGCCTTATCCTTTTTAATAATGCTACTCCCCAATGCTGTTCTTCCTGTTGCATAGGGAAATTGTTTATTTGGCACAGTGTGAATAAAAATGTCAAAAATGGAAACAATAAAAATTTACAAAAGTCCAGTTAAGTTAGTTGTTATCAGGAAGAAAGCAGGAAAAGTCAACACCATAAGCAAAATTATAAAATTAACTAAGGGAGTAGGGCCTTCCAACAGTAAATGCCATTGGAACCTTCTAGCTACAACACAATGCACAAATTATTGTTTATATCATGATTAGATTGCTAGAGAGTTTACCCCAGGCCTTATTGTGCTCTAACTTAGAGTGCCCTGTGCACAAATGGCAAGGAAGCCTTGATCAACATATTTCACATTGTACATTTTTTCTTTATTCAATCTCAAGTTTTAGTGCAGATAAAGATCTGTAAAGTCCTGTAAACTCTGGCTGCAGTCCAGCAGTCTGTACCAATTGCTTCTTGCAGATAGCACTTTCTTCTCTCACTTTTACAAAGCAGTGTTTCAAACTGTGGTATCGCCAAAGTCCTTGTTCCAGCGAATGTATGCATCCACGGTTTGAGGGCTCAAACTGCGCTTTATCTTCTTCAAAGACTCTGTGAAATCCGTCAATTTGATATTCCTCATCTAAACAAAAATGCAGAGGCCTTTTAGGACAAAAATGTTTTTATGTAATTTTGTTTACTCAAATTTATGCTTTTAACTTGATGGGGGTGGGAGGGTGAAGAAATAAGCAAGGTAAATGGATGTTATTTTGGTTACTCAAACCCAAATTAAAAGATTACAATAAGAAGCTCTATAGATAGGACCTTAGAAATAAATAAATAAATAAATAAATTGGACAATGCTAATTCAGCCAAGACCAAAATAAGGTGAAATGTTTTCTCATTCTTCTAGGTGGCAGTACCTAGTGCCTATGAAGAGGCAAGTATCTATAGAAGCAGTATGACCTTGTTCATGCTGTCCCCTTTTTCACAGATAACAGGATTAAGATGTCAGCAAGATTTTGTTGCGTGGTGCCACCAGTCTCAAGAAAGCACATATGCATGGACAGTATCCCCTTACACCTGAACACAATTTAGAGTGTAATTTCAGAACACTGCTCTAAGAAATCAAGTGAACAGTCAGGATATACAAAGAAGTAGGAGACAAAAGTTTATTCAAGTAAAGGCAGAACAGTCAGGCTGGTAAATAGACCATCTGCCAGGCAAACAACATTTTCTACATCTTCCATGTCCTTAGACAACTTTATATCCTATGGTCCTAATACTTGTGTCATTAAGTAAATGCACACGTTACAATTTTAGAAATTCTTGAGCCTTTGTTTGTATGGCAGCAGCAACCTTCAAACAGCACAGGACATTTTCATGCAGCAGCTTTTTATATTTAATACAATCAGATCCCACAGCGATAAGGATTTCTGCTACCCATACAATGAGCCTATGACTCAAACATGGCTGCCTGAGTACACTTAAAGCAGAAGGAAAGTACACACAAATCATATGGTTAGTACAGCTAGAGGGTTGTTGCAGCTATGCTGGTCCTATAAATGTGTAAGAGGTTTCTTTTCTGGTATCTTTTTTGGACCAACTGATGTTAGACATGCTTTTGGGCACAAATCACCATTCAGCCACTTCACTACTTTCGCTGCCTCCCCTATTAAAGGCAAATCTTCAGAGTACAAATACAGTTTACAAGTATAGCATAAAGTTGCGGGAGCCTTATTTTCCAGGGTGAAACCACTTCTTATCTGAGCTACTTTACTTCAAAGAAGAGCTTGGACAACAAAGTTGCACCGCTGGAGAAATAAGCAACTGTGAAATTAAATTTCTCCCTCCAACATGAGAAATTAGGAGCTGGTTTTATTAAACTGCAGCAGAGCCAACTCTTTATAGTAATTTTGCTCTGAAAATTAATACTTTCAAACAGTAATTTAACAAGAGTAATTCTGAACTAGTGATAATAGGAAAACTTCTGCATCTTAAAAAAAACCCCAAAACACCCTTATTGAGACAAACATGGATTCAAAGCCACTTATTTAATGTTTGCCAACTTGAGCACTGCAGGCTCCCCACCCTCTGCCCCCCAATTTTTTTATTTTTTTTTTTTAGTATACAGAAGCCTAAGCACTTTGATTATGAAGACATAAGTTTAACTAGCACCATTATCTCAAACACGGTTCTTGACACAGGGGACAGCGGCTGCCTATGGAAGCTGACATGTGCACTACCTGTTCATCAGCCTGTTCTCACCCGCAGAAGTGGAAACTAAAGCAGGCAGCTTACCCCTGAGTGAAACAGTACAGCATTACTGTAGCTTAGCTTCCAGCCACTAAAGGTTGAAAGCAAGCAGGTGGACAGCTCCTGCTCAGCAGTTGTTCTGCATGAAGCCTTAGTTACTTAATAACATGCTGCTATTTGATGGTTTATCCATTCCCTCTCTCAGTCCAGCTGTTATGAACATTTCTTATGTATAAAAAGACCATTTCAAAATGGCTCCTAGAAATCATTAATATGCCTTTTACCATTAATGGCAAATATAATTTTTTGACTTTCTAAATAACTGATAAATCACTACTAAACTCGTTTAAAGGATTTCATGTTACCAATATTTTTAGGGGGCTTTTCACTTCAGAATGAAATATTACTGTTTTGTGGTTAATACACAGCACATAGATTTCATAGACGTTAGGGCTGGAAGGGACCTCAGAAGATCATCGAGTCCAGCCCCACACCCAAAGGGCAGGAAGTCAGCTGGGGTCACTGGATCCCAGCAAGATAAGCATCCAATTTGCTCCTGAAGGTGTTCAATGTTTAATTTAGATCATAAAAATTAGACAATATTTTATTTTAGAAATCTATGCATCCTACCCAAAAAAGAAAAAAAGGTATGGGAAATTATCATACCTCACTTGCTGACATATTCTTCACCTGTTCTGGTTTTAGTTCTGTCAAAAAAATAAACTCTATTAGTTTTACAGGAAATACCAAGACTTTGGATGCTTAGGAACATTTTACATAGTTTTAGTCAAAAAAGCGGCTAAACCGGCACCTCTATCTCAGTGGATCTGTTCCTTATGTATTCAGATCTGATGACTGAAGCTTTAGTGATTTAATCTTCTTGGCTTTTACTCCTTTTAGCTCTGCTGAGCCAGCATAACCAAGACACAGAAACCACGAACAACCTACATGTTATATAGGTTAAATAAACATATATATTTATATATGTATATATTTGTCACCTGTCTACTATATAGATATAGATATAGATGTATTTATTTAGTAGACAGGTAACAACCCCCTGAAGTGGGGTAATTTTCCCCAACATAGAAGAGAATTACTCCTGAAAGAATCGGGGAGAAAATAAAATGCCCCTTTCCCCATAGTCAACCTGTGTAGATCATAATGGTTTATTTAAACCATTTCTGTCCATGTCTATCTTAGGGTAGCTAATACTAAAATGTAAAATAGGCTCTTAACTGCTTCTCTGCCATCTACAAACAAAATGCAGTAGCAGCCAGCTACTGAAGGCAGAATAGCTGCATGTCTGTTGCATTTCTGTTCATTACTGATATTGGTGTAATTTTTATTTAAAAAAAATCAATTCAAATTGTACCAGAGCATGTGTTTTACTCTTCCTCACTCTGTCAACAGAATTGTTGTTGAATAAACTCCTACATACAAGTCAAACAAGTGTGTAGAGGTTTAAATGCAATGATTCCATGGTCAATGGGGTTATAATGTGAAAACAGACTGCACAGGGATTAACATGAGACATTTATTTACCCTGTAGTTTCCTTCTCCCTAGTAGTGAATGAGTCTAGGTGGAGGTCAGAGAGTTACAAATAGAAGGAACTTATAAAAACATATTGAGACAAGTCGGAAGCAAGGAACTGCAAGCCACAGAATCTTAGGGTTTGGTTTGGTTTTTGTTGGGGTGGGGGATGGGGATGAGGGAGGTTAAACTTTTTTCTTTCATATGAAGAAAATGCCACATACGTAGCATTTACACTGGAAATAAAATGCACAGACATTTTAATACAGCGGTTTAATGCATTGTTCCAACTTACAGAGGAACAGATAAGGATATCACTTATGAGACGTTGATTGGTGCTATAACATCCCAGTTTTCACAATATATGAAAGACTTTTTCCCATAAATTTTCACTCGACTCATGACTGACTGCCCATTAAAAGTGGCTATGGGGGTAGAACAAAGAAAAATGGAGCTACTTGGTAACAAAGTTCAGAATGTTGTACATTTGCAAATCCACATACTAGGATTTGTACCTAGTGTCTCAAATCCATGACCCATTTTAAACACCATTCACACCCACGTGATGGTGATGCAGAGACCAACTGTATCCTCTGACTAAACAAATAGCTGCCTATCTGAAATCTAATTCCAGACTTCAAAGTAGTGAGCAAAGTGGACAAGTGTGGATCTGCAAAGACAATACTTGGATACTCCACGGTGCGAAGTAGTCATAATTTCTTCATAAAAAAACACCTTGTGCTGACACACAGTACAACATTACCAAACAGTAGCAATACCTAGAAGGCATAGACAGAGAATTAAGTCATATGCCTTTCTGAAACAAGCATTTTTTTGGCTCCAGCTTTGCCAATGATTTTATCAGCAAGTTTCAAAGATGGCAATATCACAGGGGTAGCCACAACTGAATGGACTCATAACTGTCATTCAGTGGTACATCTGGTATTAACAGGCTGAAAGGCAAATGAATCTGGTGAATTAATAAGTGCTCCCCTTGTGGTAGCACCTCCAGAAGATTACAGACCATGAATTGGATGAGAACAATTTTTTGGAGGCTGATGAAGCAAACAAAGCATACAATTAAGCAAGTAGGGATAGACAAAGATGAGGGTTCAGTTACCCTGGAAAGAAACTGGGATATGTACTATAAACTAAGGCAAAGAATGTTAAAATGTGTCTTCTGCAGGGAGTCGATAATGTTTCCTTTTGTCATGTAGTGACAAATAGTAAAGTCAAACTAGACCTATCTTACCAGGCACACCTCCCAACATCTCCTGGGTCTAACTTAAATATGTTAATTTAGAGAGACAAGGGAATAAGGGGGAAGACAGTAACAATGCATTCAAAAGGTCCTGAAGGCATTTAATTTTGCCTAGAAAATCTATGTGAAGAGTTAACTTCTTACCTCGAATAGGGCCCAGTGCTGCATCCTTTGCTAGTGCAGTTAGATCACTTCCTGAATATCCATCTGTCATTCTTTATAAAAATATGTTAGAAGGGAGAAAAAAAATATGTAACAAGCTTGCAATATTCTCCACGTCTCCAAGCAAATTCTACTAAAAAGGTAAACAGTATTTCCCTCAGGAAAAAAAAAGCTATAGACATTACATAAACATACTAGTTTGAACATACTTCTGAAGTAAAGATATTTTACCTATTAACATAGTAATAAATCAGTATTAAATGTAAAACAGCATACTAGAAAAGCAAACCTGAGAACTGCAACCAAAAAATATTTTATAAAACACTTGCTCTTAAGCAGATGCATTAATTGTCTTTAGAGAGACCCCTAGCTATTAAGTGCCCTATACTCTAAAATACTTGCTTTAAAAAAACAACCTTAAAATACATCTTGCATATGTTTTTTAACCTCGGTGGGCATGTCCTTACATGCAGGGATGTGTGGTTGCTGCAGCAAAAATAGCAGCAGCACAAATTTGTGCCACTGCTTTTTGCTGCTGTGCATGCTCCTGTATGTGGGGTTGGTGCAGGGCAAATTGTTCCAGGTGGGGTAGGGGAGGCTGGGGACAGCACCTGTACTGGCCCCAGAAGCCTTACCTGGGGGCCTCCCGAGGCAGCAGTGGCAGCAATCCAATGCCACAGAGCCTGGCTCCAGTTTCTTATTCCTTCACAGGCAAGGTCAGCTCCAAGATTACTGCACTAAGCAGCACACTTAGGGGAGGCAGTGAGCAGCCAACAGTGGCAAAAGAACAGGTTAAGAACTATTTAGAAAAGCTGGACACATACAAGTCCATGGGGCTGGATGGGATGTACTCCAGGGTGCTGAAGAAGTTGGCTGTTGAGATTCCGGAGCCACTGGCCATCATCTCTGAAAATTCATGGCAATCAGGAGAGGTCCTGGATGACTGGAAAAGGGCAAACATAGTGCCCATATTTAAGAAAGGGAAAAAAGAGGATCCAGGGAACTACAGCCTCACCTCAGTCCCTGGAAAAGTCATGGAGGAGATCCTCAAGGAATCCTCAAGCATTTGGAGAAGGTGGTGAGTCAGCATGGATTCACCAAGGGCAAGTCATGCCTGACCAACCTGGTTGCCTTCCAGGATGAAATGACTGGTTCTGTGCACATGGCGAGATCAGTGGATGTGATGTACCTTGACTTCCACAAGTCTTTTGATATGGTCTTCCACAACATTCTTGCAGGCAAGCTAAGGAAGTATGGGTTAGATGAATGGACTGTAAGGTGGACAGAAACTGGCTGGAGCATCAGGTTCAGAGGGTAGTAGCCAACAGCTCGATACCGAGTTGGCAGCCAGGACCAAGTGGAGTGCCCCAGGGGTCAGTCCTAGGGCCAGTTTTGTT